AGATTCCACACCAGACAGAGAAAACATGTGACTGACTTATTTCACTTCCATCCATTTTCCAGAAAACAACATAGTTTCATTCTTTCTTGCTGTATAAATTTCTTTTGTATATAAGCAATACATTTTCCTTATCCATACATTCATTGATTGGACATCTAAACTAATTCCATAACTCAACTGTTTGTGAGATTGTACTGCAAAATTACGGGTGCATAGACATTCCATTCTTTTGGGAATATACCCAGAAGCAATATGGCTGAATCCTATAAAAATTCTGTTTTGTGCCGGGCGATGGTGGCGCATGCCTTTAATCCCAGCACTCGGGAGGCAGAGGCAGGCAGATCTCTGTGAGTTCGAGACCAGCCTGGTCTACAGAGCTAGTTCCAGGACAGGCTCCAAAGCCACAGAGAAACCCTGTCTCGAAAAAACCAAAAAAAGAAAAAAAATTCTGTTTTGAATTTTTTTGAGGAAGTTCTATACTGGTTTCCCATTGTGGTTAGACTAATTTACATCCCAGCAAGCACTGAATAAGGCCTCACCCCTGCCAAACAGTCAACAATACATATTGTTTTTGTTTTCTCTGCAATAGTCATTCTGCATTGTGAGCCCATAGAAAGCATCCCAGAGTAATTTGCAGTTCCCTATGGGCATAGGATCTTGAATATTTTTGCATGTTTTTATTGACCAGTTGTACTTTTTTATTTGTAAAATGTCTGTACAGTTCAACTATGTATTTGTTGATTGTATTATTTGCTGTTTTGTTCATTATTTGTTTTTTTTTTTTCTGAGTTCCTTTATGTTCTGGGGGGAGCATGCCCTGTTTGGAGGATTACAGGATCTCCCCAACTCCTTAGACCATCTCTTAACTCTGTGAATTTTTTTTTCTGTGTAGAAGCTTCTAGATTTGAGCCAATCCCATTGTCAATTCTTAGTATTTCTGGGATTCTAGAGTCCTATTCCAAAGGTCACTGCTTCTTCCTGGATCTTGAGCTATTTCTTTGTTGAGCTGCAGAATTCCTGGTCTTATACTAGGTATGGGATCAATTTTGAATTGGGAACTTTGCGGGGTGGGGCACAGTATGAAACAAGAAGATCATATTCGAGTCTTCCTCATGCAATGGACATCCAAGTCCCTCTCCCTGGGCTTCTTGTTAAAGAAGCCATCTTTCAAGCAGTGTTTTTTGTTGTTTTGTTTGTTTTTTGGTGTTTTTTTTTTTGTACCTTTGTCAAGAATCCAGTGACTGAAAACTCTTCCTCCTTGAATTCTTGCCTCCCTCCGTTCCAACAGCTTGAAAACAGTCTCTTAAAACAACTCGCCAACGTATCAGCCTCTCCTTTTGGCTTACAATCATCAATGGCTTTGGTTCCTTGATTGGCACTCACCTGTGAATCACCTACCTTGACCTGTGTTAGCTCTGCAATAGGGATCATTCCTTGCAACTTCAGCGTGTACTGACCTGGAGGACCAGTTCAGAGCGCTGAGCCCCAGAAAACATTGCCAGGAAACCTGGAGTAGGTGTAGAACTTTCTTCTTATCTGACAGAATTCTGACCAATACAGTAAAGACACTCAAAGAAAACATTTTGTTAAAAGTTTGCATAGAGATGTTGCACAGCAGAACAGTATGGGAATATAATATTCCCTATAATAATATAATATAATATAATATAATATAATATAATAATATATATTAATATTTTACCTGCATATTTGTATGTCCACCATGTATGTGTCTGGTGCTCTTAGAAGTCANATACTACTGCCTATAATATCGCTGCAGGATAAAATATGATAATAGATGTGTAAGTATTTTATACAGTATACTGTTATTTATGTCTTTGGTGTCATTATTGCATAATGAAAAAAGAATAGGATTCATCAAACAGATTAATCTTAAAAACTATTTCCAGTGTTTCTCAATGAAACAGTTTATAAATAGCAAGGAATTTCAATGTTCCCGGTCACTTCATATATAAATGTGAACTGAACTTTAGCAGCAAAGGATGAGAGCAGAAAACAAGCTTTTGCCCTTCAGTGCTATTTCTTAGACGAGCTTGTGAGAAAAAACCACGAGGGAAGTAAATCAAGTGAACGTGGTTCTTACACTAATTGATAAGTGATTTGAAACGAATCATCGAACTTCCCTGGACCTCCATATTCCAGCACAATGAAGAGTTTGCTCAGCTCTCTAAAATGCTTCTGGCTCAATAAATCAATTGTCCTAATTGAGAAGACAGGGCATACACACATGGACAGATAAGAGGAAGCTCGCAAAGTAATTTACCAGCAAGTACAGACAGTATCTATTAAGCATCTAGGTGAGTCAACTGGAAGAGCGACCCGACTTGGGTGGCCCTACGCAGGAAACACTGACATCTTGACTGGTGAGTGTCACACCTACAAATTACCTACAGTAAAAAATTAAGAATGATGTGCCCCTTCCAAGAGTCTGACCTACGTGTGCTAAAATCTCTTCACTACGTGAGCTGACCAGTGAAATTCTACTGGTGTCTGCAAGCGCTGGGTACTTTTACATTGATTGCTTTAGTTAATTTCAGAAAGTTTAGTGACTTGTCAAACATCACCCAGCTAGCAAATGGAAGAAAGAGACTCCAAAGAACGATCTTGCTTCTTAGACCATCCTACCACACTTGATCTCATCCCATTTTTATACAAATGGATTTGATACTAGACCTTAAGGAACCTGCTCTATAATAGAGGCTGTATTTGTCTCCCCACAAAGTTTGACTTGTACAATATTTTCACATTTCTTAAAAAGTGAACTTATTCTATTATTGCACCCTCATTAGTTTGTTTTTAAATTAATTTTTTTGTTGAGTTTATACATGTATGTAGTTCATTTGGATTACTCTCACCCCACAGTCTCTCTTTTTGCCCTCCTTTCCCACTCCCCTCTCTTACAAATCCCCTTCTCATATTCATGGTTTTGGTTTTGTTTTGTTTTGTTTTGTTTTGTTTTGTGTTGTGATCTACTGAGTGTAACCAGGGCCACCAGCATGACTGGGTGTGACACTATCCATTGGAACCAGGTGGTCTCACCAGTTGGAGTAAAGCTAAAGACAATGACTCCTCCTTCCCCAGCATCCATCAGTCTACAATAGTTCACCTGGGAGGTCTCAGGCCCCATGAGCTGATCCGTGACTGACTATCAATGGGCATCAAACGTAAATATTTAGAAGATAGTTTAATACCATGTCAAATAAGCAAAATAACACATTCCACCCTAAGGCTATAACCTCCCCAGCCGTGGGGAGCTTTCCCCAAGTTTACTCTACCAGGGATGGATTCCATTCTACGGAGCAGACCTCAAATCCAGCCAGAGAGTAGTTGGTTACCTTCATAGCTGTAAGGCAACTGTTGAAGCAACAGGGCTATTTTGACTGGCAAGTTGGTATCATAGCTTGCAAGGTTCACAGCTGCCCAAAACTGATGTGGTTGCTTCTCCACCAGCACACCTCAAAGCCCTCTCTGGCACTGTGAAGGCTATCCAGAAGGGAGGGAGACGCTAGCTCAGTTTTAGCCAGATATCTCCCTAGTCTAGAACCAAGGTGTGTGGTGTCTTCAGTGATGGGCCTTAAAATTTCATTCTCCTGTGCATCTGCAATAGCCCACCTAGTGTGGAGAGCCTTGGGAGCCTTCCTGACTAACAACTCTGTGGAAAACAGCCCCCTCCTGGCACCTCTGTTCAAGTGCTTTTCAAAAAATACTTTTAATGAGCTGATAGAGTAATTGATTTCCATTTTTTTTTCAGTGCTAATATCTCAGGAGCTAATACTTTAAGTTCTTAGTAATTCTCTGTGCATCGTGGAGAACTAGTGACCACGAACAGCCTCTCATGCTTCAGTCACAACCCCAGCAACAACGCCTATAGTGAAACATTCTTCTTAGTTTTGAAGACACAGTATTCTCCACCGCTCTCTCTCTGTGCGTGTGTGTGTCTGTAAAACATTATCACTAAGTTTCTTTGTGATACTCTTCCCCCGTCCATCTTGTTAGTCTTCCCCCATATACCTGCTCTGGTTTAGCCGCTGGAGGATTTCCTTGCGTTGATCCTAACAGTTGAATGCAGGGTGCTTTATTAAGATGAATGCATGTGTCACCCCATGCCATGCTAAGCATCAGCTTCTCTGGAGGGCAGCTGCGGTTCTTCCTTAGAAAGATGTCCCTCCCTGAGCTTTCTGGGGGGGAACAAATTGAATGTTCAGGCCATTCTGTTAGTGCCCGAAGCAGCTCCCTGTCTTTCCTGTCACGAATCCTCTATGGGAAACCTTCCCTAAAATGAGGTGAAAATAAACCGAGAGAGGAGTATATATCTGTCATGCATCAGGCCAGATACCCTGGTTCAGAAAGCTCAGAAACAATAATGTGAAGTCATATTCTTTCTCAGTCAGAGGCAATTGCAGAGTTTCGGGTTGCCCACAGTGATCTGGAGTCGGGGCTGGGATGTCAGTAGCACGAGCACGCATGTGCAGGAGTCGTTCAGGCGCTTCTCCCTTGAATCCGTGACTCTCCTTTCAACACTGTTCATCAGAGGGCATGCTGCATCATGCTGGCATCTCATGCAGCAAGCTTGGAATCAGTTTTGAAGCTGGAATTGCATGAGCATGTGCCTACAAAGTTCTACATTTTGTTCATGCAAGAAAACAGAGCTTGAGCTGATGGAGTCCACTTGGTTCAAGTATTCGTAGCATAGAGCACCCAAGTGAGGTGTGCAACCTGAGACCATCTGAATATGAAAATATATTAGCAGAGAACGATCGACTACAAAGTGTGTAATGGAGTAGCTTATAATCAGCTTGTTGTGTATTCTTTTCTCTGAAGTTTATGATTCGAATATGGATACATACATACATATACATTATATGTATGTCATTTATCAGTAAATTTAAGTAGGCATTTTTTTACTGTTGAATAATTGATTTTTAAATATTTCAATCCTATTTGAAATCAAGTTGCCTGGCTTGCTTTTCTGTTCCTAGATTAAAAATAAACAGAATCGACTACTGCCTGTCGTCGTCATCCTTATCCACATAATCTCAGCACTGAAAGTGCAGAGAACACTGACCCCTGCATAACATGACTTACCATGCAAACACCCGATGAAGTGTAATGTCCAGATTAAGTAAGGTAAGAGGTTGCCAATAATCAACAAAATACAATAATTCAAGCAGTATAGTGAGATGTACTACGTTACATGAATATAGACTGTCCTCTTAAATATCTTATGTTACCATACTTACTTTTTTTCTTCTTGAAGCATTATGTGATGATATAATGCATATGTGATAAGATGAAGGCTGGAGCTATCGTGCTGCAGTGGAGGCCACTGTGGGAATGGTATCTCGTAACCAAACCGCTATAAGTGAGCAATGTACACCGTGAATACTGTGCAAGTGATGACTGACATCCCAAGCAGGCAGAGTGACTGCAATGGTGTTTTCAGTGATGGCTTGTAGAGGTCATGGGCACCTTGCAGTGGCATGCAGTTTAAAACTTAGGAATTGTTCTCTGATTTTTTTTTTCCTGTTTCCAGACTATAGCTTATTTAAGGCTAACAGAAACCACAGGAAGCAAAAACATTGCCAGGCGAGGTGGTGCACACCTGTAACCCAGCACTGGGGAGGTGGAGGCAGTCAGATCTCTGTGTGCTCGAGGCCAGCCTCAGTCAGAGAGCTCCAGGACAGCCAGAGCTTCAGAGTGATACCCTATCAACAAATGAACAAACAATGAACGAACAAACAAACAACGTGGCTCCTTGACTAAAGGGAGACTCTGGAGTATTTCCTGTTACTGAGCTGGATCGAGTGAGACATAAGGGATGTGGAGTAAAATTCACCTCTTCTTGGTGTGTACTTGTGTGAATTCTGACAGATGCAAACAGCTGTGCAACCACTGTCACCACAATCTAATGTGTGTTTTTATTTCCTGCAAGACTTCCTTCACGGCTTCTATAACTAGTTTTCCTTTGCTCCCTTCCTAAGCCTGGAGCAGCTACTGATGTATTTCTTTAACTAGCCCTTTGCCTTTGCAAAATGTGACGTAACTAGAATCTGCTATCTTCATTTAGAATAAAAATTTTGAGCGACATCTTTTTATGCTATCATACTTTCCCCTTTTATTTCAGAGCACTAGTCCATCATCCATATATATTACACTGTCATTTGTTAATTTATAACTTATCAAACAGCTTCCCACTAGGTTTTTGGCTATAAAATAATATAAAATAATAAATCTGTTGTGAACGTTTGAGCCAACTTTTGCTTCCCTTTTTCTTGGGTAAAGTCTTACAAGTGAGTCATGTGATAAATTTACATTTCATTTCTTGAAGTTATTATATAGTTAATGTATGTTTGTGTGTACATGTGTGTATGTGTAAGTAGGTATGCATACACCTGTGGTGGGCAGAGGTTGACATCAGCTGTTATATTTTTTGAGATAGAATCTCTCATTAACCTGGAGGTTCCCAATTTAGCTAGACTGGCTGTTCAGGGAACCCAGGGATCTATTTGCCTTTCACTGTCAGCACTGAAATCATCACTGTGTGCTGCTACAGCCTTTTCTTTTCTTCTTTTTTTTTCAGACGGATACTTGGGATAGAATTCAGGTCCTCATGCCTCATGCTTGTACAGCAAACTTTTTACAGAGTGAGCCATCGCCCCAGCCTCGCGTATTTCAATAAGTAAACACTTTTCTTAATGGTGATGTATGGTGGCTAGTCTTACGTCAATTTGAGACAATCTAGAGTTATCTGAAAGGAGGGAACCCCGACTGAGAAAAGGCCTTTATAAGATCATGTCGTAAGGCATTTTCATTATAAGTGATGGATGTGGGCGGCGCCATAACTGGTCTGGAGGTCCTGGATTCTCTAAGAAAGCAGACTGAGCAAGCGAGGGGGTGCAAATCAACAAGCAGCACCTCTCTGTGGCCTCTGCATCAGCTCGTGCCTCCAGGTTTCTCATCTTTTTGAGTTCCTGTCCTGATTCCCTTCAATGATGAACATAAATATGGAAGTATAAGCCAAATAAACTCTTTTCTTCCCAACTTGCTTTTTTGGTCATGGTGTTTTGTCACAGGAATAGAAACCCTAGAGTAAGACATGGTATCATTTTATATTTCTATTGCTATTGTATGAAAGATATAATTTCTCTATTCTCTCAAGTAGCATGGTCAGTCTTTATAACTTAATCTCATAATATGTCGTAGTGGCTTTTATTTACATTTTCTTAGCAACTCTTTCAATTGCTGATAGGTACTCAAGAAAGCATGAGATACCAAGCATTTCTCTCTCTCTCTTTTTTTTTTTTTTTTGGAGGAGGTGGTGTGAGGGGGGGGGAGAGAGAGAGAGAGAGAGAGAGAGAGAGAGAGAGAGAGAGAGAGAGAGAGAGAGAGAGAGAGAGAGAGAGAGAGAGAGAGAGAGAAGAGGAGAAAGAGACAGAGAAGGGGGGAAGCAGAGAAGTGGGGAGAGAGGCAGAAGCGAAGCTGCCTCTCTGAGAGGAAGATGGAAAAGAGAGCCACCAAGCATGTCTTCTTTTCTCATGCCTTCTTTTTAACTACCTGTACGTTTTCATTAAGTGGTTATCTAAAACTTTTACATTTTTAATTATGTGTATGCACGTGTGTCTAAGTGTGGGTGAGTGCACTCACATGCGAAGGCTATAGAGAACATCAGATCCCTTGGAGCTAGAATTATAGGTTGTATTGAGTTAACTGTCTTGGGTGTAAGAAATCAAACTTGGGTCCTTTGCAAATCTAGTATGTTGTTCTCTTAGCCAACGAACCATTTCTTCAGTCTCTAATTCTTTCCGATTTTTAATCAGACTGTTTGATTTATATTATTGAGTTCTGAGAGTTCTTTATATATTCTGGATATCAATCCATAACTGATAGGTATAGCATAAGAATTTTTTTACTTTTTTACTTTTCTAGCCCTTTCTTGACAGTGTTGTTCAAAGAGAAGTTTTTGATTTTTATTGAATCAAAGTTTTCTTTTTATCTTTTTCCTTTGATAGTTTATGCTTTTTGTACCTATACAAGAAGTCTTCCGAACTTTTATATGTATTCTTTGATAAAGAGAATAATTTTATTTTTTTTTGCAAAACTTAGAAAAAAGTTGTCTAGACTTTAAAACTTTCTTGAAATTCACTTCTATATGAATATCTTGAAAATGCCTCTCACAAATAAAACAAACCTTTCTGAGTTATTTTAGTCCACAGAGTTCTTTACTTCTGTTTTTGTTTGCAGAACCACCTGTTCTCATAAGGTTTGACTGTCAACCTGACATAGTCTAGAGTCACCCAAGAAAGGAAGTTTCAGCATTGTCTAGATCAGATGACCTGTGGATATGTCTATGGGGTATAGTCTTAATTATTAATCTATGCAAGAGGAGGCAGCCCACTCTAGGCATTACCATCCCTAGGCAAGTGGTTCTGGACTGTATAGTAAAGCTACTTCGTGGTGACCGTGAGTGAGCTAGCAAGCACTGTTGTCTGTGGTTTCTGATTCAAACTCCTTTTTGAGTTCCTGCCCTGCTATCCTTCAATGAAGAGCTGTCACTTGGAAGAGTAAGTTGAGATAAACCCCCTTTTCCTCCAAGTTGCGTTTGTATAGAGTGTTTTATCAAAACAGAAAGAAAAATAAGGCACCATCCTTAGATAGTTTTATTGTTTTTTATTGATTGGTCATTGCATTCTAATGTATTCAGAGTTCTTTGCCCAGGTCAATGTTTTGAACCTATTTTCTGTTGCAATAACTTTTTTGATGTTCCTTGATGTATGTATTTTACCAGCCATTAATAACCATGTTAGGCTGTAGTTTAATGATATGATGATAACCATAGCCCTTTTCTCTTTTGCTTTATGTAAAGGCTGGATCAACTCTGAAATGGAAAATCTGTGACTTTTTTGAAGTCATATCTTAGGAAAGTACAATGGTGGCATTTTGTTGTTGGTAATAATTATCATTGGGTTATTGCATGCATTTTCTTTTCTGCTTTCAGTTTTTCAAGGAATCTTTTCCTGTAGCTTTACCCTTGAGATGGGATAATATATTCATTTATTGAAATATTTTATTATCACAAAAAGCCCCGCACAGAAACAAATCAAAAACAAGAGATTCCGAAACTCCCTTATCTGGCCCTTACACTGTTTTCTTGCCTTAGTGTGTAGTCTTAACACTGGATAATACAGTTAAAAATACTTACTGTTTTTGACAAGAAAATATTCATCTTAAACTATCTTCTACAGAAATGGTTACTTCCTTATTCAATTACGTTACTAAGGCAGCCATTGGGTCTCCATGATATATGTTGTTGTCCACACATCCACTTCTGGCACTAGATCCAAAGCTTCTTGAAGACAAGAAGTACTCTTTCCTTTACATCCCCAGTATCCCAGTAGCACAGTTCAGGACTTTAACTCAGCTACCAGGGAGATTAAAGTATATGTTGAAGTTATGTCAGGATTGCTGTGAGCTAATAAAGCACTGATGTTTCTATATTCACTTTTCTTTCTGGGTACAGAAGACAGACACACATGGAGGTGAAAAGCTAAGTTTTAGAGTTAACATTATTTTGGATTCAAATGCCAACTTCAATTCTGTCACACCCTGGATATGTCACTTGGTACCTTTTTTTTCTCTTGTATATCTATTTTTTCCTTTTAAATTTAGTATGTTTATTATTGTATATTAGTATTATTATTAGTGTGTGTGTATGAGAGACAGAGAAACAGAGAACCTATGTGCATGCCACACTGTTTGTATAGACATCAGAGGACAACTGGTGTGGACTGATTTTCTCCTTCCTCTGTATGGTTCCTAGGATTTACACTCAGGTCCTCAGTCTTAAGAAGCAAGGGGCTTCTTTACCTTTTGAGCCCTATTTATGGACCCACATTATTTTTTCTATTTGTAAAGACAAGGACACCAGACTTCAGGTTTTTTTGAGTGTTTTAGTGATCCACACAAAGTATATAGCACAGAGTATTCAATATGTGGTAGATGGTAGATGTTACTATTGGGATCATCGGAATATATTTGGCAGTATGTGTTCATACCAAGATAGTTTTTTTTTGCCTTATGGAGCTTTATAATACATTGAATTACTTTATAGAAATAACTATATCTCACTGAGAGACCCTGCTTCATAGAGAAAAGGCAAAGAGAGAGAGAGAGAGAGAGAGAGAGAGAGAGAGAGAGAGAGAGAGAAAGAAAGAAAGAGGGGGAGAGGAGAACATCTGGTGTGCCTCTCTTGAACCTTTATATATCTATATCTATAAATCTGAATGTACACTTGCACATAAACTTCATATACACCTCACAAACATATATAACTTTTTGACTATGCTGGTACCCAGAAAATTCCAAACACATTTTTACATGTTACTGGGATCCTAGTTCTATTTCTCATGCTTGATCAGTAAGTAATCCAAACCACTGAGCTATTCCTTCAGCTACAGCACATGTATTTTTTGTTAAATATTTAAATATATATATGATTGATTTTTATTAAGCTCTCTCTATATTTTTCTCTGTTCCCCTCCCTGCCTCTTTTCTCTCCTCTTCAACCCTCCCTCAAGGTTCCCATGCTCCCAACTTACTCAAGAGATCTTGTCTTTTTCTACTTCCCATGTAGATTCGATCTATGTAAGTCTCTCTTAGTGTTCTCATTGTTGTCTAAGTTCTCTGGGATTGTGGTTTTAGGCTGGTTTTCTAATAAATGTTGTCAAGTTACAAACAAAAAGAAAAAAAAAGAAATAACTTATGTCATGAGTCTTCCAGAATTTTCCTTATCTTTTTGACTTTTACTCTTCTTGTACGATGACCCCTGTTGTGTCTGTTGATGCTTTTTTTTGTTATATCTAAATGTTGTTGATGCCTTTTTTGTTATATCTAAATGTTAAGTTGAGTCTCACCAACCGTAAGGATTATGACTTTTCAAATGAAAAATTCACATAAGGAGTTCCGTGTTTTATGAAAGCCACTCACAAATGTAGGACTGTTGTCTGTAGACTCTTAACCAAAATACTGGAATATTTCAGTGTTCATAAGCATTTGAAATGTAAAAATAGTCATGCGATCTCAG